AAATGACTGATAAAATAACTAAAAGCAATTAATTAATACACAGTAAAAAGAATCTAAATATGTGTAGAGATAGAAAAATTAGAAAACAATCGTATATGGGAAGATCATATAAAGAAAGTAAGTGAACAACAAATTATGTTCGTAGTAGAAAGAAATAATGGAAAAGGGAAAAAAAGAATATACCATCCTTCATTTATATATACCAAATTGGGAAAAAATAGTTTCACGTATACAACAATGAAAACTAGCGAAGAAGAATTGTCAAATGAATGAACTGAAAAGTGAGCTGATTTTTTCTTTGACCTGATGGGATTATTGTTTCCTTTAATATAGCGATAAAATGTCCGTAAGAATTTTATGAAAGCGTAGAAGAATACTTCTATGTGTCTTTTGAGATCCATATAGGTTTGGCGATAGTTTTAACTCTGAGCGGTGCCAAATCTTTTTGAAAGTCATATATATGTATGTTCAATAGAGTACTTTTAATTACATATAAATCAGATACAATTCCTTTTTTAAGATTGATTCATTATTGACCGATTCCAGTAGCTTATTTTCTAATGGGATATATTGAAACAATGTACTAGGTGCATCTATTTCTTTTTCGAAAGAATAAATAAATTTCGATATCAAGTTTGAGCAATGTGTAATTAATTACTAAGGGATTGTCCATACTATATATTCATTTGATTAAAGTGGTTGAATAAGTTCAAGTTCGAATGTACAGACATAACAATACTGTTGTGTTAATTATAAGTTTAAAATTTATTTTATTTTATTTATTTTGTTAAAGAATAAGACAAGAATTTATCTGCAACTTATTGATTGATTACCTCGTTTCTTTTCGAATTAACAGCTAAATATGTATTGATCGAACTTTTCGGATCATTAAATCGATTTAGAACTTTACAGTATGAATTTTTTTAAGATTCAGAGTCAAAATTTGTATTACACAATTAATCTAAATATTTCTCCGTAAAGTTCACCCCAAAAACGATTAACAATCGAAAAGTTTCATAAACTGTTACAAACAACAATTAATAACAAATTTCATCAAAATTTCCCTTTCAACTTTCCTTTTCCTTTTCCTTTCAAAAAATATATACTGTAAATGTTAATTTTTTTTTTTTGTGAATAATTTAAAAACTTTTAATTTCATTGGCACGAAGCAAGATTAAAACAAGTTCATGTACTAGTTAATTAATCACCTGAATTTGAATCATTTATGGAACATCTATCATTTTTTTACTATTAATATCTGACAAAATTTTTTTAAGTTGTTAAATATGGTACTAAAATAGTTGGTCACCAAAATTATTTGCAACACAAAATCACATCACTAACATATTCGTTAATTATATTTAAAAATCTTTTTTTTTTTTTTTTTTTTTTTTCCTTTTCCTCTTCATTTGTTCTTTCATTAAATAAAATAATATCCATCATTCTTTAAATACCTCTATCGGTATATATTCAATAATTATTTAAATCAAGGAAAAAAGAGGAAACAAAAAAATTAAAAAAAAAAAAATATTTTAACAATTTTTTTTTTTTAAAAAAAAAAAAAAAAAAAAATGGATAGTTTACCTTCACAAAATTCATTTCCCCAAGTTTATTCCTTACAATCACCTTCCTTTAAAAAACCAATACCATACCTTCCACCCGAAATAATAACAGAAATTATTTCATGTGTTAATGAAGACGATATAAAATCATTATATTCAATAATTCAAGTAAATAGAACGTGGTTTTCTTGTTCAATTCATATCTTATGGAGGCAACCATTTAAATATATTTCATTGACAGGTTATTCAAAATTACTTAAAGTTTATATTTGGTTTCTACCCGAACAAACCAAATTGAAGTTACAAAATAATTATTTTAACTTTGATGTTAAAGAATTCCATAAGAAACCTATAGTGAATTATTTAAATTATTTAGAAAATTTGGAAATAGAATTTCGTAGTTTATATTGGGCGATTAAACTATTATTACCTACCCTTGAAATCGAAGGAAACGATGAGAAACATGAAGATAATAAACAAAAACAGGAACGACAGGTTCAAGCTCACGCTTTATTAATAGAATTATTTAATTTATTTAAAGAAAATTGTCCAAATTTAAAAAATTTTAAAATGAATTATCCAAACGAACATTTATCATTGAACGCTGAAGATTTAGAGAATATTTGTACAAGTAAGTATGGTGTATGCATTTATAATTCATGATGTGATTTGAATAAAAAAAATGACCTTTTTTTTTTTTTTTCTTATTTCTAGACCTAACGGATTATAAATCGACTTTTCATCGTCCACGACCTCGTCGTCGTCGTAATGCTGCTATATAGATTTTTATTTCTCAAGATATTATTATCCTTTCGTTTATTTTTTTTTCAAAAATAAAAAAAAAAAAAAAAAAATAATTGACAATTTAAATAAAGGAATTTTTTTTTTTTAAAAAAAAAAAAAAAAGTGTCGCAATTTTTATAAATTTCAAGAATTTAAAGGTCCAAATATTTTAATACAAGCAACAAGCCATTTTGCGTGTTTTAAGATTTCTGACAATTAAATTTGTTTAGATATTAATTACTCAGATTCAGAAACTTCATAATCTGATTGCTCTCGTTCTTTATAAGATTCTATTTTAATTTTTTTCAAATTAATATGTGAAATAACTTTATCACATTTCCGTTTCCTTTTCACTTGTAAATTTTCCAATTCTTCTATCACCTCTCGCTTCACCGTCGTCTTGTCACCCATCATTTTCCCTTCCTTGCCCAAATTCGAATCCTCCTGTCTTCCTTCCCTTACATGAAAGAAAGCGATGTCATCACCCCGATCCAATAATATTTCTTGTTTGATCTTATCGATAGGTAGTTGTAACCTGGTGAAATTTGTTAATTTATTGAGAGGTACAAATTTGACGGAATTTTGATTTAAACAATTAGAAATATTGGGATTAATATTAATTATTTGAAATACTTCGAACTTTTTTATAGACCAATCCTTTCTTTGTTCCAATTCCGGGGGTAAGATCGATCTCGAATAATTATTTCTCCTACATATGCATTGACAAATATCTCGGTTCTTCCGATTCCTTTTAAAAGTTAACCCTAAATCACTTTCACCAAATATTGGACCAAGGTTTGGTGAAATGAATAACTCTTTAACATATCCTTTTTCGTCATTTTTAATTTTACTAAGAATCGATTCATGGTTCTTCCTAAAAGAAAAGATAAAAGATTTTCCTGATTGCATCCAAAAAGAAGTCTTTTTGGATTCTGATTTCCAATATGCGGGATTATAGCCACCAACGATGATATCATTATCATATTTTATTACAACTACCGTGGAAGCGAACCCATCACATCTTGAATGAAATGCTTTAGAAGTTAAACCGTTTAACTCACTATCATAAAGCAGCTTAAATTCTACTCTATCAGTTAATTCTTCAGGATTTCTTTTAAAATAATCTAAATCTATAGCCTCTATCCAATCCGTTATAATCGCTGCATGTTTCGATGTTATGATTTTTGATTGTATCGGTCCCCTTCTTATATCTTCCGATGTTGGAAATTTCGGTTTCTCTTTCTGTTCGAAATGATACCGTAATAAATTTATGTATAAATTATCCGGTAGAATTCTTGAGAATGGTCCTACTTTAAAATAAAACATCTTTGATGACATTTGATCAAATCTAATCCTCGTGAGAAGTCGTTGTAAAGTATTTCGTAACGCGTCTAATTGTTCATCATTCAACTCAATTGTTTTGCCTGTTTGAATTCTCTCCTTCAAATGTAGTTTAAATTTCTCGCTGAATAAAGTTGGATAGTTTAACATTCCCCATTCAATAATGTAATCCCAATATTCTGATTCTTCATATTTAAGTTCATTCATTCCAAGTATGTCATATAAAATATCCTCTCCCATATTATTAATTGAAAATATTAACATTGGATTCGACAAAATGAATGTCAAGCATACTTCCTTGAGGGTGGTTAGTTTTGGTTGTTGAGATATTAACGGAAAAATGACGGACAAGTTCTTTTTTAACCATTTCGTTTTTCTTTTAAATTGTTCTTGCAATGGATCAATTAATTTGTCCAGGTGTAATAAGTCTGCCGCCAACAGAACCCCAATTCCATTCATATATTTCTTTCCGATTATCAATTTACCACAATAAAAGGCGCTGATATGCAAAAAAAAAAAAAAAAATTTTATCTTCCAAACACTCTCGAAGGCAATTATCTAAAAAAGCGAACAACTTTTGAAAATGGGTTCTTTATGACTTACTCCAAGATAATTTTGAATACATCCGGGTGGATAGGTAAGTAAATGATGAATTTAGCACCACCTAACGCGGGTCTAAAATACGTTGACCTAGCACAAAGTAACAATGAATGACCGAAGAATACTTTCGCGTCATCCCCTTCGCCACAATAAATTTCAACATCATAATTTTTTTTTATAACCGACAAAAATAAGTCGTTATCATCATCATAGATAGTCTTTTCCAATGGTATGACTTCCATTAAGGGTTTATTAGCAAAAGAATGAAACAAAAAAAGCAAAAAAGCAAAAAAGCAAAAAAAAAAAAAAAGGGATAATCAATAAAGCGTTTGGAAATCCACTAAGGGTATGATTTTCTTTCTATTTTTTTTTTCAAGAAAAGCTTAAGAAGTTGAGAATAAGGAACTTTTAAATATCCTTTGAGAAAATGAGGTAGGGATGCGAAATCAACTGCAGATCCAAAAATTTTAAAATAAAATCCAGTTCTTTTTTATCAAAGAATTACACTTGAGAGAGTAAGTGCAAAATAGAATAAAAAGATTTGTAGTATTTAATAAAATTTAGTTTCGCGTCATTTAAGTTTCACGTGTTTTATTGATCTTATTTAATAATTTGATGACGATAATGAATCAATATGTAATTGCTAACTAAGGTATGTTTTTATAAAAAATGTCCGTTGCGTATTAATTAATTCACAATAATGAATTTAAGATACCGGCAATTAATGGTTAAAAGGATTATTGTGTTATAAATAATGCAGCACAACAAACACGATTGTCCGAGATCCATCAAGTAAACACAATCTTTATATGAAAGAAAAATAAATATTATTATATTATTTGTATCACAACATTTCGCATCAAAATAATGCATGTTAAATCCTGATTTGTATCAGTAATGAAAGTCATAATGAAATTTGTGATGTTATGGGTGCTCTTTTTTTTGAATTGGCCAAGACTGAACCTATTTCTATTCGATTCAGGTTAAGTACTTAAATGGTTGATAATCATTAATTCAAATATTTAAATAATTACTTAATTAACGTAGTTACTTTTAAAAAAAAATAAATTCGTAGCAAGTAATTTCACCAAAATTTCGCATGATTTTTAAGTTTTCGTCATATTTTGCTTATTCAAACGCGACTTTTTTTTCATTTTAAACTTTTTCATTTCGTCATACTTTGTCTAATTGGTCAGGAATACATTCTACACCTCAGTTCTTTTACCTAATTTTCGTATATATAAAGCATATTTTATTGTACTATGACTCGATTTTAAAGATTCAAAGTTGCATTTTGGGGAATGACCATATGCATTTATTCGTAAAACAGTTTTTTTTTATTAACCTCATCAAATGTTCACTAAGTTCATCCATATTCTGATTTAACAAATAGATACGTATGTCTTTGAGGCAAGAAACTTAAGTCTATGAAAAAAAAAATAATTCATAACATGATTTTTCGTGCCTCTATTTTCAGCAAATTTTAACCAATCATTTCTTCATCATTATCACTTTCAAGATCACCGAAATCATCATTTTCAAAAATTATTTCACTATGTGGTACGGATAATTTGTTGTGTTTATTTTATATCTTGAGCATTATCTTCTTTATCGGTTTCGTATCCGGTATTTTCATTGTCATTGTTATGAAAGAATTCAGCCTGTGATCCTCTACTTGAACTTCGTGGGTGTAATAGGAAGTTAAATAATTGATTCAACCTCCAAACTGCATTAAATACGATTATGATAAATAATATTAATAGGGAAAGATACGGAACTAGGTAAAGGTTTAATGACTTTTGATAATAAATTAGCTAAAAAAAAAATACATAAAAAATTGTAAACTCTTTTTTCCTAAAAAAAAAAAAAAAAAAAAAAAATGCAAAATTTGTTAATAATTACCATGATGACAAATTGAGGAATTTCTTTTTTAACAAAAGCAAGTAATCCAACCCAAAATATCCATTTGTGCATACATTTAGAAAACTTTGCACTTAAATTCGGATGATTTCCAATCTTTGAGGATAATATCATCAATGAATAAATGTCAACCACTGATAATAACGTAAATAAGGTCGTGATCAAATAATGCTTCTTCAACCATGGTCTGCAGTAATAACTAATTAAAAATATCGCTACCGTTTCGTTGAATGTGGTAGATATTAAAATAATTGTTACGCTGTTAAAAAAAATAAATGTTAACTTTCCTTTTTTTTTAAAAAAAAAAAAATAAATAAATAAATAATAGACCTTGCTGTGTAAAGTCCTTTTGCAGCCTTTGAATATTTTATCGTGAACATGATGAATAAGACATAATTCACAAGTCCGATAAAGAATTTAAACGCGACTGCTGTTTCAGCCTTTAGATAAAGAGAAAAATAAAAAAATTTTTTTTTTTCAATTTAAATAAATTATGAACTTTATAAACAAAAGCCTATTTATACCTTTGGATTTTTACGTTGTTCGATAAAACATAGTAAGACGACTAATAAAATTCCCGCGATGAATAAAATGATGATGAACGAATATTTGATCCAAAAGTTTTCTGCACATAAATTATACGTAAAGTAAAATAAAATAGAATAAAATAAAACGAGAAAAATGATTATATTCCTTATCTTACCAACTTTAATAAGCCCATAATTATCGTCTAATAAACTAGTATATTCCATGAATATCAATGGTCCCATATCTCGATGGATAATTAGGGAATTCAAATCTTTAATAATATTAACTACATTCATGTCCGAAGTATTCGTTGTTGAAATTACTTCTAATAATAAAATAACTTGTAGTCGTTTTGTTGTTGGATCACGTTGATATCGATATTTGGGAACTAATCGTGATGATGCAACAGGTAAGGCTGTTGCCAATTCATTGCAAAGTTCATTTACAAAATTTATCTTTTCTTTTAAATTTAGTGATTCGTAAAGTTTTGATCCGTAAACCGACAATCGAAATGTTGCCATTGTAGATTCTAGAACAAAAAATGATAGATATTCCTTGATAAATGTGCTCGAACCTTTGCTTATATGACTTAATACTTACCAAAAAAAATTCCTGGAACGATTTGTTCTTTATGAACCAATTTATCATAAACAGATTGTTAAAAGAATTTTCTCGCAAGTAGATGATAATCTTGTCAACTTACTCGTCTTAAAAGCCCATATTTTTGGTTGGATTCCCTTTAAAGCTTCACCAGTTTCATCAAGTTTTACAAAATTATCTTCAATTGTCACATAATAATCGGTTAGAGGTTGATTAAACGTACTTGCAAAAGTTTGAATCGTGACTGTTTTATGATTTTCGCTTAAAATACAATATCCTGATCGACCAGAATAGATTTGTCGCAAATGTTTTGGATCTTTTGTTAAAGGGTCGGAATTAGCAAAAATTAAAACAGATCCATCAGAGAGTAAGACGGGGTTTTTGTAATGTATAAGGATATGAGAAGTTCTCATCGTAATCGTTCCGTTTATTTTTGGTAATGTCTGAATTATTTGTGGATTAAAATATCCCATGTCTGAAAAATAAATAAAAAAAAAAGGGGCATGAGATTTTCTTTTAAAAAATAAAATAAAATAAATAAATAAATAATATGAACCATTTTCAATGGGAATTTTAGGAAGTTCCGTCATATTTAAAATCCAATTAGTATCATTTATTTGTTTTACAGCAACAAATTTGTTATCAGGAAGAATACTATAAGGGTTTCCATTGGAATTTACGAGAAATGGTTGTGGTAGAGGCCTTTGTTCCAATCAAAAGAAATAAATATATTATATAGTTCATTATTATATAAAGCAAATCATTTTGAGTCATACCAATTATTTTGAAAATCTCCAGTTGAATTGAGAATGAAACCATAAATTAAGTTTCCAATTTGATTGCGGGTACTTGCTGTCAAGAGGTAACTATTTTTTAAAAGATATCATTTTAGAATTTATGTTACAAACATTTCGATAATTTTAATTACTACTCGCTTTAAATTATTTTAAACCTTACCCTCCGAAAAGCAACGGATTCACTATCAGTTCATTTAAACCTTCAAGGTAATTCGCCCATTTAGTTTCAACATTTTTTAAGTATCTAATTTAAAAGGTTCGCAAGTCAATTTCAATTTCATTTATGTTTAAAAGAAACAATAACCGTCAATATACCCGAATGTGGAAAAAGATAATTTCAAAATAAAAATATCATTCCCTTCAGAAATGAGAAGCTGACAAATATTCTCACTTCCATTATAATCAATATTACAATTCAAAGCGATAATATCCGAAAAAGTCATCTCATCACTTGAATACATCAAATAAGATGGAGATGTTTGATCATCGTGAGCAGAGATTAAGATTATTTCTACGCGCAAAGTTGATTTTTGACCTTCACTAGAAAATCTTGTTACTACCAAACAATAATTTCCTTCCGTATTTAGGAATCCAGAAGTTCTTGCATTTACGCTGCCAGAATTCCCAATCATTCCAGATTTGATATTAGAAATACTTAAGTTACTATTTAAACTATTAGAATGAAGAAAGATGATTGATTTATATAAACTATATCAAGTTCTTTTAAAAGCATGAGCTTGCAACAAAATGATCACATAGCATACGATCTAGTAAAGTGATGCCAAATCACATCTCCAGTGTTTTCTAGGATATCCACGTATAAAAACCCAACATTTGCTAATTGACTTGAATGATAAAGTTTCCCAGGAGGTTGTACAATTCCTTCCTTATTCACAGAAGCCTTACTCAGATACGTGTTACTAATTACAAATGTTAAGAACGTTAGCAAATAAAATTAACTAGGTTCGCAAGTATGTTGACCCAACCTAATAAAATCTCCATTCCAATTAACCAAAAGTCCATAAACACTCGCGTCATCAGGATTGCTTGAATTCACATAGGTTGCAAAAATATAATTTCTCAATAAAGGATAAATGTTAATATAATAGTATATGACCCTCTCAATCGTTATTTCACAAAAGTTAAACGCTGGTATTTCCGTAGCTGAAACATTAATCAAGGTTAAGGTTTTATTACTATGTAAAAGTCGAAAATATAAAGCTGGAATGGAACAATTTTCTTGGTCAGAATGTATCAAATGAATCAAGATAGTTTCATCTTGATATGAATATACATCGTGAACTTGTAAACCATGATCTGATTCATTGAAAGTTATTACTTCGCAATATGTAATGGGAAACAGAAACGTTATGATTAGGCACGAAACAAAATTCCTTAGCGCACATTGCGCGATTCGCATTGCGAAGGAGATAAAGAATGATTTACTTGATTTATTTTTATTTTCCTAAAAAAAAAAAAAACTCTTTTATCATCATTAACAATTTGACGTGGCAAGGTTAATTTCATAAGGCAAAGAGACAATCTTTGAGGCACATGGATAATAAACAAGCCTCACACAATTACTACTAACAATCTTGCGCCTCATGTTTTGCAAATTGTTGATTGGACAAGTGTTGTATGTAAAAGTAACATTAAACTAATTTTTTTGAAAAAAATTTTTTTTCTTTATTGAAATTGGCTGTGTTAAATAAAAACAACAATTTATTATGACTTAAAGGACATCTTTTTGTTTATATAGTCGAATAAATAACCTTATAAATTTTTTATTTTAATTCACTTCGTTAAGTTCATACCATACAAACAAAGATATAACCATTATTATTCCTATGCAAAGTAAATCATTATTATTATTATTATATAACTATAAATTTTAATTGGAAATGAAAATTTAGCTTACCGAGATACATTTTCCATTGTTTTCTAATAAAGAACCAAATTTTCATTTCTTGTTCTGCTTTATCCAAATCAAACGTTGCAACATCTCCATTATCGTACAAATTTACTTGAAAATCAAAAATAAATAAAAATTATTATAATCAAATTCGATAAATTCATTAATTTTATTAATAATCATTATACTTACATAATATATTTCCATTACTCTGTATTCTAGAGACATTTAATATCTTTACTGCTATTACGTCCTTTAAAAGAAATGGCTGGTGTTAAGCAATCTACTTTATTTTTATTTTTTTTTTTTTAAAAAAAAAATTAAAGCTTACTAAACCAGACCGACTAAGAGAATCCAAATATGATGATTGAATAACCATCCTTAATTCCCAATTGTCTTCAGTTTTGTTTATAAGTTTATTATCAGCATCAGTTAACCTTGCAAACAAACCTTTCTTCATTCGAGATGATGGCGGGACATTTATATCAGCACCTCCTCTCTTATAGATTAAAATGAAATTCTCCTTTATAATGAAATAATAACATTAATAAAGTTGAATAATAATTGGATTTATGGAATAATATTTACCATAGTCACCAGCGCCAATAAATTACCATTAGCATTGATTTCAGTTCCTACGATCTGGAATTGTCGTTCCTCAAGTAAAGGAAGATATTCACTTCTAACTATAAATGCTTCAGTTGAATTTGTACCTTGTGGGTTGGGATCCGCTGCTGTTGTATTGCTATAATCAAACGTGAATAAAATATTATTCAAAGCGACACAGATTGTTGTCACATTTTTTGCTGTAACTAATTTGATGTTAAAAATATTTAAGTTGTTGTGAATTTATTATTATCATTGATCAAGAATGTCTATCATCATTTACCTACAACAGGTTTCGGAACTGCGATTGGTGGAACAAGAGTAATCCCGCGCGCAAAATCAAATTGGTCATACTCGAGTTTCTTTGGTGTCGACGGCGTATACTTTTTATTTTTCAATCAACATAGAACAACGTTAATTAAAAATTAAAAATTAATTTTTTTTTTTAAATAAATTTAAGATTACCCCAATTATTATCTTGGAACGCCAACGAAAAGGGCTCATGTCTGATTCCTCAGATGATGACGAGGAGTTATGAATTGAAGATGAGTTATGAATGACGGTTACTTGAAATGTCCAAACTTCATCATTTGCTGTGACTTCAACATTTAAAACTCGAATCACTCCTGGCCTTCAATATAAAGATATGTATTAAGGTGATGTGATTAGATAGAATTGAATGAACAAAAAATATTTTACAAGTCGTTATAACTCACACAGCGTAAACGCGTCGAAAAATTGAAATTTTTCTCCAAAAAGGGTTTAATGGACCGATTTCTGATAATATATGAAATATGTTAAATCTTGTAATATTAAAAAGCATAAACCGACAGATATTCTACAAACTTTGTATCGGTCCTGGATCACTAGTTTTTAATGTTAATGCACTTATCTTGCTCTTTGGAATGTCAAACACATTTTTAGGTATTAATATTGTTCTAAATTTGGCATCGTCTGGATTCCTGTTAATTTACACATAAATTTGATTTTAAATTTTTGCATTATTTTTAAGATATTTATTTAACATTAAACATCTACCTTGAATATAAGATGATTGAACCGTCCACATGAAATGATTTAATATTAGTCGTTCCTGGCAATGTTATGTCCTGAAATTTAAAGGATGGTGAAATATGACACGTGTGTGATGAAAGTTTTTGACATTCACCTATAAATGGAAAGAAATACAATTATTTTAATGTCAAATATATATTAAAATAATAATAATCATAATTTTTTCATGCGTTGATATTCTTACTTAATTCAATAGTTTCAGTTATTTCTTCATAATGACCTATATGATATAATCTCATGACGAATTTAATTTCCTCTTTTCCATGTATTTGATACAAAATTGCCAATGCATTATTTTCGTGATAATCCGTGCCTGCCGTTGATATTGACCCATCGTTATAATAGAAACTCGATATATGCGTTATAGGACCATCAAGTCGATGACTATAAAGAAATTCCCAATCTATAAAAGACAAAAATTTGATTTCAAATTCTTAAAATCATTTTTTAATAAAGATAAATTTTAACTCACTGTTATTCGGAGCATAATTATTACGTAATATTGAAAGTAAAGGCCTCTTATATTGTCTGATCAAACCTATAAGGATTAAGGATCGAATACATTTATTATGGTATAAAATGATTAAGAGCCCTATTGTTATAACTTACCCATAGCATCGTCATAAGGTACTTCGTGCTCTTTCCATATTGCTGTTAAATAAACCCAATCATCCTGCACTGATATAAATATTCCATTTGGTTTAATATCTCCGAATAAATCTTCTCGGGATACCATAATGTTCCGTGGGTATGGAAAAGGTGCAGAATGTAATGATATTATCAAATATATAAAACATAAGCCTAATGCAAGCGTAATTAATGGTCTGTATCGTTCCATCATATTTATAGAAGGAACGAAATATGTGTATTGTTGCAATCTATATAAAGGCAATAAATAAAATAAATCTATTGGAAGTGTTTCAAAATTTTTTTGAAAAGAAATCCGTCTTCGATCAATAATACTTGATGCTAAATTAAAATTATGCACGTGAAAAGGCTCGGAATGCATACCGGCCAATTCAAAATTGCGTCGTCTATATATAGTTAGTCCTAAAATTTCATTTCGGAAATCGACCTGACTCTGCGATCATAAAATTTATTATTGGCCAAATTGAGACATCAAATGTATTAATTCATCCTCAGAAAGGAGCTGGAGTCATAACTATTGTTGTTAGGTGTTTGTTTGTTATCTAGCTAATCAGGTTAAAGTTTAAACTTTATTTCTTTGCGTAACGCTATTTTCAGCCATCAGAATAATCAGAATAAGGTTTTAGGAGATGTGCAACGCACATGATTTAAGATTATACGCCTAAAAAAAAGGAATATAAATGAGTTTTTAAATTCATTAGGAATTTACATTTTTTTCAATAATGACCTCACCTTATCCAAGATTAGTTCGGGGAATTACCTTCGATCGCTGTGATAAGTTTATATCACGGAATTTCTATTCGGATGTGAACCTATACTCTCAACTTTACAAGAAATGTGAAAGCTCAAAGGACTATATTGAACTTCGCGTTTATTCGGTTCCAAATTTGGAACGTGTTACCTTTGAAGAAGCTATAAAGTGTGAATTCAAAAAGGCTGCATGTGGTGACCAATTTGGTCCAAGCTGGGTACGTCGATTGATGCCAACTGTGTTATCGAGTTAATTATATAAACTTTAATTATTATCTTGTTAATTTTAGTCGACACACTGGTTTCACATATCTGTCAAGGTTCCTGAAAATTGGAAAAATGAAGAAGTACATTTCATATGGGATTCTAATAGTGAGGGAATGATTTGGACTGTAAAAGGAGTTCCTCTTCAGGGTCTCACCGGTGGTTGTAAGTATATCGTTCAAACAAATTCTTATCTCTAAAAATTTTAACTCATTCCTTATGTAATTAGATGGTAGCGATCGTAGAGCAGAGTATATTCTTACGCGTTGTTGTAAGGGTGGAGAAAAGTTCGAATTTTATCTGGAAATGGCTTGTAATGGTAAGTCAAAATTCTTTGATTTCGTTTTTAATTTTAATTTAATTTAATTAAATTTGTTATTACCATGCTGTTTTTATAGGCATGTTTGGCAATGGAAGCAATACAATAAATCCCCCAGATCCAAACAGGACTTTTTGTCTAAATACGGCGGAATTGAAGGTTCCTAACAAGGATGCATGGGGTCTATTCTATGACTTTCAGATTATACGTGATATGGCTAAAGAAATTCCCGAGGATTCTGTTCGATCAGCTCAGGCTCTTTATGTTGCCAATAATATCATCAATATTTTTCAGCCAGGTGACGATAAATCAATTCTTGAAGGTCGTAAAGTCGCTAAAGAATTCCTGAAAAACAAAAATGGAAGCACACAACATAAATTGACCGCGGTTGGTCACTGTCATATCGATACTGCTTGGTTATGGTATGTGATAAATGAGAAATTAAAATTTTCCATAAGATGGAATCTGCATAATACGTTTTGCCGATAATAGCGTTCAATTTTTTTTTACTTTACTTTAAGGCCATTTGATGAGACTAAACGTAAAATAGCTCGAAGCTGGTCAACTCAAGTTGGTTTGATGGATTTATATCCGGATTATAAATTCGTGTGCTCTCAAGCTCAACAGTTTGAATGGTTACAAGAACATTATCCGAAACTATTTGACATGGTCAAAAAAAAGGTTGAAAAGGGCCAGTTCTTGCCAATTGGTGGTGTATGTATTGTATATTTTTATTAAAAAGAATTAATTATTATATCGATCAACCATTAAAAATTCTAATTCTTTATAATGTAGACTTGGGTTGAGATGGATTGTAATATTCCCAGTGGTGAATCATTTTGTAGACAATTTTTATATGGGTAATTCATTAAAAATATAATTAAAATTTTCACGAAAACCTTCTATTTTAAATCTTAACATCAAATATTCGTGATTTAGGCAAAGATACTTTGAACATAACTTTGGAATGAAAAGCAAAGTGTTTTGGCTTCCAGATACTTTTGGTTATTCCGCTCAGTTGCCACAGATTATCAGAGGTGCCGGACTTAAATATTTTTTCACTCAAAAGTTATCGTGGAATAATATAAACAAGGTTTAAATCAACTTCAACGATGTCTGTTTTATTCAAATAATTTTTTTTATCTAAAGTTAAGGTCTTTAATTCTTTTTTGTCAGTTCCCCAACACAACTTTCTATTGGGTGGGACTTGATGGTAGTAAGGTTCTGACACACATGTGCCCAGCTGAAAGGTAAGAAAATTTTTATTATGTTGATTAAAAATTCTTTTAATTTAATTGAACTCTAATTCTCATCTAAATCATCAGCTACGTTTCTCAATGTACACCAGGAGAACTTGTTAATAGTGTTAGAAATCACAAGGATAAAGAATATAGCAACGAAAGTCTTTTAGTCTTTGGAAATGGAGATGGTGGAGGTGGTCCACTTGCTTCTATGATTGAACGTTTAAATCGAATGAAAGATATTGTAAATATAGTTGAAATTTCGTGTTTTTATATATATTTTTTGGCCTTTTAATTAAACGTGATTTTCCTTATAATTAGGATGGGCTAGCTAAAGTTGAAATGGGATCTGCTGAAGAATTTTATGAAAGAATTGAAGAAAGTTCTAAAGAATTAGTCTCTTGGAAGGGAGAATTAGTAAGAGATATATTAAAATTTTATTCAACCATATTGATATTATTGTATGGCTAATTGAAATTATTTATAATTGTAGTATTTTGAGCTTCACCGAGGTACATATACTACGCATGGTAGTATCAAGCGATACAATCGCAAATCGGAATTTCTTTTGCGAAATGTTGAGTTAATATCAACTATTAATCTCATTAAATCGCAAATTGAAAACAAGGATGCCAAGTAAATATATTAATCGTTCTTTTTTACATTATGTTAGATATTTTCTCATTTTATCATCTTAACTTTGTTTTAGCTATAATTATCCAAAAAAAGAATTGGATAAATTATGGAAATATGTTTTATTGTAAGTGGATCTGCATTTATACATTGAATATGAAAATTAGGAAGCAAAAGTTGATGAAACTTAAATCTTATAGGAACCAGTTTCACGATGTATTGCCAGGGTCGTCTATTGAAATGGTTTATGTCGATGCTACTAAGGTATGAATTTTTTATAGGACAAATATTAATTCATTATTTATATCAGATTTTAATTTTTTCTTATAGTTTTATAAGGAAGTTGAAGAAAAAGGAAATTTACTTCTTGAAAATGCTTTCGATGAATTATTCCAAATTTCAAAGAGTTCCGGATCTTCCGAAAAAGGTGATAAATAAATTTATTAGTTTAGCTCATGTTGTATCAATTAGTTTAATACAAATCATTTTTTTTTTTTTCATTAGGATTATTGGCCTTTAATACGCTTGGTTGGAATAGGACTGAAGTAGTCGAAGTTCCCGTGTGTGAGGGAGTAGACAAGTTACCACAAATTTCAAATGACGAGAGAACTGGATTTATTTTAGGTTTGTTTCATATTTTTTTAATTTTGATTAATATAATATCATGACACAATCTAATCCTTATATACTACTATAGTTAACGATGTCATTGGAATTGGAGCACAAGGAATTGATTTAGGGATTCCCACCAGTTTTTCACCAGTTACTGGTATTGTATGCTTATGTTTAATTGAATCCCGATATTTATATGATTTCATTTTTATTTTCATTTGCATTTTTATTTAGTTCGTATGATTGATAATGATCATTTTTGCTTGCGGAATCAATATATTTGTTCGATATTTGATAAATATGGTCATTTAATAAGCTTAATTGACTCTGACTCAAAATCAAGGTAAGCATCATTAATGAAAATGATATAATAATAATTTATACTAAAAAAAAATTTTCTTTATTTAGTCGAGAACTTATTCCCAAAGGCCAATATGGAAATAAGTTTAATATATATGAAGATATTGTATGTATGACTATGTTTAATAATTTCATTATAAACTTCAATGATTAATTATAAATTTTTTTGTTCGTTAGCCATTATTCTGGGATGGTAAGCAATATAATATAATTTTTTTAATCAACTTTTATGTTCAGATTGATAATATACAAATTATGAATTCATTCCTTTTCCTATAGCATGGGATGGTATGTATTATCCGAGTTAATCTTGATTTTAAAAATATATATTGTTAAAATTATTAAAATGATTTTATATTTTGAAACATATAGTTGAAATTTATCACCTGCAAAAGGGTCGTGAGGCAGAACTTGGCACTGTCAAGGTTTTATATCTACATTTTTATTTTATTGATATTTTTGCTAGTCATATAACGAGAGCTTTTCTAAGTCGGCTTGATTTCTCTAGATATTTGAAACAGGACCACTTAAAGCCTCATTGCTACTTGAATCTAAAATTACCGCAACGAGTACACTACGTCAAGTTATATCATTAAGTGCAGTTTCATCAAGAATCGACTTTGATACAACGGTAAATTGGGATGAAAATAGGCAATTCTTGGTAATTATAAATATATTTTCAAGTAGAATTTATTGCTCTAAATTAGTATTATTTACTAACTTTTCTGCATATCCATTATAGAAAGTAGAATTTCCGTTTGATATAAACAGTGATTATGTAAATATTATATAATGTTTTGTTTTTTAAAAAATTATAAAGCATAATTTAATTGATCACCGTTTGGATGTTGTAGGCTACGTATGAAACTCAATTTGGATTCATTCAACGGCCCACACATTATAACACCACATGGGATTCAGCCAAATTTGAAGTATGTGGACACAAATTTGCTGACTTATCAGAGTATGGATACGGTGTAGCATTGTTGAACGATTGTAAATATGGTAAGTAACTAGAATAAGAATTATTCTTAGTGAACTTGCGCATTTATATATTTTGATTATATTAAGGTTATGCGGTTCATGGAAACGTGATGAGATTATCTCTTTTAAGATCCCCAAAGGTATGTCTAAATTATTTAATAAATTTTTTTTTTATCAGATGTATCTAATTTGAGCTTTCAAATAATGTCTAGGCACCGGATGCTCATTGTGACATAGGGGTGCACAATTTCAAATATGCAATTCTTCCACATGCTTGTTCTTTTTTGGAATCAAATGTTGTTAGAGAAGCGTATCAATTTAATGTTCCTTTAATTGTTAGGTAAAATCACTTTTCATTTTAATGCTTTTCTAATAAAATAGTAAATTAAATCTTCCGATTTTGTTGATTTATAAACAGACCCACATCCAAGGAGATTGTACAAACATTTAACGTCAAATCATATTTCACAATTTCTAACGCCCCAAATGTTATTTTGGATACCGTAAAGCGCGCCGAAGATTCTGACGGGATTATCTTGAGATTATTTGAAGCTTATGGTGGTCATGCTAAAGCTATATTGACAAGGTGAGTAATTAAAATGATTATCATTGAATATTGTTTTTTACAATAACTCATTTAAAAATTTTTAAATTTTACGTAAAACATAGCTCGCTTCCGTTAGAAAATATTTATGAAACCAATATTTTGGAAGATCATACTTGTCTTATTAACTATAATCAACAGGATGGTGCAGTTATTAAATTCAACCCATTCCAAGTCATCACATTGAAAATGAATTTTAGGTGAGTTCACTCATTGGATCCTTACTTAAATGAAATATGGTAATATATTAGTTAATTATATGACTTGATATCCGATTTTGCCAGTAAAAAGCATAATTAATTGGACTTTTGTAAAGATTCATAAAAATTACATCGTGGAATGAATAACTTCAATATTTGTAAAAATCTTTTTTATTTTTTTTTATTTTTGTCTATAGAGAACGAGAATGGACATTGATTTAAAGAAACATGTGAATACATCTAAGTATATTTATATGTTGGATTTTTTCAATATTTTATTTTGCAATATCAAAATATTTAATAAATTATTATCTTTCATTATTATTGCAAATTTAAGTGAATAATAAAAATATACCCTTATTATGTATTTTAATTTAATATGTTATTAATAATAAAAAAAGAGATTTAAGTCCGTTATATTTATTGTATACCGAATTCCATAAAAGTTCATTTTTCAGTTGTATAATTTGGGGTATTTCTAATCAATAAGATACAATTTGTATAGAATTTCAATTAAGTAATATAATTCTTGCAAGTCACTGATCTCTTTTTTTTTTTTTTTTTTTAAAGAAAATTTCTTTTTATAATAAAATTTTCTTCGTTGTAGTATACGAGTTTTAACCCATGTTTGAGACAAAAATTAAAAATTGCGAAAAGATCAAAAAAATTAGAGGTTGCTATTAAAATCACGTAACGAGATCATATGATTTACTATGTTCGTATATGAAAATATTACCATAAATAGTGTTCGATAATGAAGATCATGAAGATCTTCGAATCCCACAATTTCAACATTTCAAACATTTCAATATAAATAAGCACAGAAACCATCTATCAATTCCTCAGTGTTCTTGTGAAGTAGACGATGTCTATAGGCTGACTTGTGATCCCCATGTCTTCGGATAGGGCGACTTTTGATCTCCAAGTAGTCTAGTCTTTTTCATAAGGTTTATACGCTCCCTCTTGTGAAGGAGACGATGTCTATAGGCTGACTTTGTCGTTCAATAAAGGTCGACATTTGATCGCCAAGTAGTCTAGTCTTTTTTCATATGTGGTAAATTTTTTTTATATTAAAGCGGGTGGGGTGATAGTGGGAAATATAATAAAGTTCATTGAAGAATTAAAGCATTGATTCGTCGTAGGATTGGTTTGTTCTGACAATCATTTTGTTTGATTTGTTTCGAAATTTTGAAATTTCTTTATAAAGTATTTTTATTTTGCTTTTTTTTTTTTTTAATAAATATATATTTTTATGTTTTTTATCACAAGAATATGTTTCGATCAAATTACAAACGCTAAATAATAAAGGAAAAAATATTAACAAGCGGATGAGCTATATATTTCATACTTCCTCTATACCGGTTGTGCAGGGAATCATCTGAATAAATCTTTGATAATTTAATAAAATAAAAATTAATTTTTTTTACATTGAATGAATCATTATATTCTCTTATAAATTATCAAAATGATTACACGCGTGCGTACAAAAAAAAAAGCGAGGCCTTCGTTCTACACGAAATTTAAAGCAGGGTTAATTTCCTTCTAATGCGCCTAAATTGTTATGTTTAAATTGGACAATAATAGAGAAATAAACATAAAAAATTTATCATGTGATACTTATATAACGAAAATATATTAAAAATCATTAAAATCTTTCCTTTATTTTGTTAGTATAAATTGAACCACCAATTTCTTTATGGCATTACATTTATTTTATCAATCAAACGATGTGAATGCTGGTTTTGACGAGAATCTTTCTTCTTGTGTACATATCTTAATAATGTCACTATGCTAGCCGGTGTCATTCCTTCGATACGTTTTGCTTCTCCCTAAATAAATAGCGAAATAATTAAATCAACGAACAATTATAAATTATTATTTTATAGCTATTATATATTTACCAATGAGGTAGGTTTAATGAATTTTAGTTTTGATCTAGTCTCAAATGATAGGTTATGAACTCTACACAGATAAGAAAAAAAGTTAATGCATATATCATTTTTATACTGTTTATCTTGGGTAAATATTTCTTACTTATCATAATCCAAATCCTCCGGTAATAACAATTCTTCATCTTTTCGAAACACCCGAACTTCTGCTTCCTGCCTTTCCAAATATGTTTTATAAATTGCTATGAAATTAAATAATATAATTAACAATATAAATAAAAAAAAAATTGTAACAGTTTTATTTCTGTATACCCTCAACGTGTAATCTTTGCAGTATAGAAGGTCCTATCTCATCGAGTCCTGGGATGATTTGTGCAAGGGATTCCGTAGTACTCCCACGAATTCCAATTACATCTATAGCGCTAAAAATTTTTTAATATCATTTAAACAGTT